CTGGGTAAAGATTTTATGATGAAGACTTCAGTGGCAATTGCAACAACAAAATTAAACAAATGGGACTTAATTAAACTGAAAAGCTTCTTCACAGCTAAGGACACAACAAGTAAAGCAAAAAGACAACCTTCAGAACGGGAAAAGATATTTGCATGGTATGAATGTGACAAAGGTTGATAACTAATCTACAGAGAGCTCAAATAATCAACAAAAAAATAGCAAACAATCCCATCTATTACTGGGCGAGAGATAATGAACAGAACCTTCTCTGTGGAAGACAGACAAATGACTAACATTTGAAAAAATGCTCCCTGTCCCTGATCATCAGACAAATGCAAATCAAAACCATCCTCAGATATCACCTAACCCCTACAAGAGTAGCCCACATCACAAAGTCTCAAAACTGCAGATGCTGGCATGGATGGGGAGAGAAGGGAACACTTTTACACTGTTGGTGGGACTGCAAACTAATACCACCTCTTTGGAAGGAAGTGTGGAGAATCTTCAAGGAACTCAAATTAAACTTCCCATTTGATGCTGCAATCCCACTTCTAGGCATCTACCCATAAGAAAAATAAATTATCTTATAAGGACATTTGCACCAGATTGTTTATCGCAGCTCAATTTACAATTGCCAAGATGTGGAAACAACCTAAATGTCCATTAACTTTGCAATGGATTAAAAAGCTGTGGTGTATGTACACCATGGAGTACTCTAGTCAGCCCCTAAAAATGATGGAGACTTTAATCTTAAGTATTAACCTTGATGAAGTTGAATCTTTTTCTTAGTAAAGTATCACAGGCATGGAGAAGCAAAAATTCAATGTACTCAATTTGAATATGTAGCCAGTAGATGATCTAATACATGCCTACATTAGAGAAAAACTCAAATCAATTAAAGGTAGAAGGTGGGGATGGGGTGGGGGAGGGCGGAGGAATGAGGGAGGGGAAAGGAGAGGTGGAAGAAGGATGGGTGTGCACCCACTTAACGGGCACAACGTTATAGTGGTGTATGGCATACATTTCGGGCAGGGACCAATTATATAAGAGGGAGTCAAGGCATAAATGCAAACATTGTAACCTAATTCTTTGTACCCTCAAATTAACCTGAAACAATAAACAAAATAAAATCCCAATTCTATATTGAAACTCCACATTCCCTCTAACATTTTGCAGCCTTGGAGTCAAAGACCTTACCGGTTTTGAAAGAGACCACAACAGAGATCAATAAACAAATGATCACGCAAGATCGGGGCTGAATTATAAAAATTTACCCAAGGAGGTGTTTCCCCCCAAATCATTCTGCCAGGTCCCTCAATAAAACATCAAGAGATTATGGGCACCGCCGTGCACAGGGGCTCACTCGTGTAATCCTAGCACTCTGGGAGGCCGAGTTGGGTGAATTGCCTGAGCTCACCAGTTTGAGACCAGCCTGAGCAAAAGGCGAGATTCCGTCTTTATCAAAAATAGAAAAAAACTGAGGCAAGACGATAGCTTGAACTCAAGGTTGCTGTGAGCTACGATGATGCCAAGGCGACAGCTTGAGACTGTCTCAAAAGAGATTATGAGCACTATTACAATTTACATAAGTGTTACTATTTGGGGTTTTCTAGAAGCTCAATTATTTCTTCAACTGCCTTACAATTAACTGGCACTCCTTGGACTTTTGAGGCCTGCGTTTCCTAGTCAATGCCCTGAGGACTTCATAGAACACTTCCCAAAAAACCAAACCAACCGACCCATTTGGAACTGAGGCCTATGTGAGCCTTCAGAAAAGTCAGCCTAAAAATGAGGTGAAAATTTTGCTCCCTGCCGTTTCACAGAGTTGTAACTAGGACCACCGTGAACCATATGTTACGCCCCGCGGGTAGGCAAAGCGACTTCAACCCGCCCAGTCCCCTAGCCAAGCGTCTACCCCAAACCCGGATATTCCTACCCGACCCGCCCAAATGTTGCACCGCAGCCCCGTACCCTCAGGTTAGCCCGAAGGCCCAGACTCTTGGCCAAGTTCTGCAGGTCGCTGTACTTGAAGGAATCCAGCTCCTCCGGGGAGGGAACGGTCATAGTGATCCGAAATCCAGTCGATCCGCAGAGGACTGATAAATTCAAACAGCGCGGTTGGAAAGTGGCGCCACACTAAGCGTTCGCCAAGTAGGACTTTATATTCAGTTTAAATGAAGAACACTGCACTTTCACTGGACGAAAATGCCTGGAAGGCGGGGTCTCTGATGCAAACCAATAGGAAATCTGATTTCCCGCCTCAACAGACGCTCGTTGGGCCCAGCCACTCAACTGACACTGGTTGACCCAGCTCCCCACCTATACGCAGGCGTCGAAGGGCCTTTAGGGCTGCCCAGCGCACGGCTTATGTTGTCCAATTAGGACCTAGGAATTGTGTTTGGGGCGTGGCCTGGTGAGCATTCGAAATTGGGGCGCGGGTTGTAAAAGATGGCGGATTGGCAGCGACGGCATAAATGGTGCAGGTCCACTCCGCCTGGGGGTGACTGTAATAATGAAGCTAGAAGCGCGACGGAAGAATCTTCCTTTATGACATCCATGGAGTGGGACACGCAGGTGGTGAAGGGATCCTCCCCTCTCGGCCCTGCAAGGCTGGAGGCGGAGGAGCCAGCCCCTCTCCCGCAGCTGCCCGGGTGGCTGGAGCCCGAGAGGTGCGCTGTGTTCCAGTGCGCGCAGTGCCACGCCGTGTTTGCCGACTCCGTGCACCTCGCCTGGGACCTGTCGCAGTCTCTTGGGGCCGTGGTCTTCTCCAGTGAGTGGGATGGGTCGGTGAGAAAGGTGGGTCGACCTGGAGAGGCTGTTCTGGGTTTATCCACCCGGTGGTCGAAAACCAGCTGGGAAAGAAAACCGGAAGAAGATTTGGAAGGAAATTAACCCCTTTGCCTGAGGAATAGGAGGGGAAGGAAGGGTGTCTTGATTTTTTTTTCTTTATAGGGGAAGATTTCTGTTTTAAGGCCCGCGGGGGTACAGATTCCTACCTATGTTTGTTTTCCAGGAGTCACAAATAACGTCCTTTTGAAAGAGCCCTTCCTGGTTGGCATTGAAGGTTCACTTAAAGGCAGGTATGTACTTAGAATTCCCTATAGATTCTGAGACTGAAGAGCATGGACCTGAGGTGTACAAGGAGAAAAAGTTTGTTTCTATGTTATGCTAAAGGAAAAGGTTATTCCACCCATACAAAATATTTGAAGGATAGGACGCTGCTTTTATCTCTTTGACTCTTGTACAAACTTGATGTATTAATGAAATTGAAAAATTATATATATATGTGTTTTTGAGACAAAGTCTCAAACTGTCACCCTGGGTAGAGTGCTATGACATCATAGCTCACAACGACCTCAAACTCTTCGGCCCAAGCGATCTTCTTGCCTCAGTTTTTCTATTTTTTGGTAGAGACAGGGTCTCGCTTTTTGCTCAGACTGGTCTCAAACTCTTGAGCTCAAGCTATCCACCCGCCTCTGCCTCCCAGAGTGCTAGGATTACAGGCTTGAACCACTGGCTTAAGCAATTCTCTTGCCTCAGCCTCCTAAGTAGCTGGGACTATAGGCTTCCTCCATAGTGCCTGGCTATTTTTTGGTTGCAGTTGTCATTGTTGTTTAGCTGGCCCGGACTGGGTTGGAACCCACTAGCCTTGGTGTATGAGCACTACCCACTGAGTATGGGCGCTACCCTGAACAACAGATTTTCTTTCTTTCTTTTTTTTTTTTTTTTTGAAACAGAGTCTCAAGCTGTTGCCCTGGGTAGAATACCATGAAACTCTTGGATTTAAGCGATTCTCTTGTCTCAGCCTCCCAAGTAGCTGGGACTATAGGCACCCGACATAATGCCGGGCTATTTATTAGTTGTAGTTGTCTTTGTTGTCTGGTGGGCCTGGGCTGGATTCAAACCTGTCAGCTCCAGTGTATGTAGCTGGCGCCCTATCTGCTTGAGCTACAGGCACAGAGCCTAAACAACAGATTTTCAGTGGAGATGAAATAACTGTGTATTGGTAGAAGATACACAGTTAGAAGATACCAAGATCTGGGACAGTGGTTCTTAACCTGTGGGTCATGACCCACAGGAATTGTATTAAAGGGTCGCAGCATTAGAAAGGTTGAGAACCACTGATCTAGGACTTTCATAGCTGGAAAGAAGTCAATGACTGTCTTCGAAGGACAGGTTGAATGTCTGGTGAGGGACTAATGCCCCTGGTTACTTTAAATTGAAGCCAGTGCTGATTTACCAAATATTCCAGCACCTTTAACAATTGTGCTAAATCTGTCTGCGCTCTATAAATTGAATAACAAAGCTTGGATGACAGCACATAAGCACATCTATTTAAAGTGTGGTTTACTGAAACTTTTTTTTTTTTTGAGACAAAATCTCACTCTATTGCCCCAGGCTAGAGTGATGTGGCATCATAGCTTACAGCAACCTCAAACTCTTGGGTTCCAGCGATTCTCCTGCCTCAGCTTCCGAAATAGCTGGGACTATAGGCGGCTGCCATGATGCCCAGGTAATTTTTAAATATTTATTTATTTTTTGCTTTCCTTTTTTTGGGGGGGACAGCATGTCACTTTTTGCCCTTGGGAGAGTGCTGTGACATCATAGCTCACAGTAACCTCAAACCCTTGGGCTCAGGTGATTCTCTTGTCTCAGCCCTTCCAAGTAGCTGGAACCTACAGGTCCCTGCCACAGTGCCTGGCTATTTTTTAGAGATGGGGGTCTCACTCTTGCTCAAGCTGGTTTTGAACTCCTGAACTCAAGCAATCCACCTGCCTTGGCCTCCCAGAGTGGTAGGATTACAGGTGTGCGTCACTGTACCTGACCAGTTTTTTTGAAATTTTTCTATTATTACTAGGGACAGGGTCTGACTCTTGCTCAGACTTGTTTTGAATTCCTGAGCTGAATCAATTCACCTGCCTCAGCCTCTTGGAGTGCTAGGATTACAGCCTCCTCGCCTGGCCAGTTTGCTGAATATTTTAAGCCTGCTATTGAGATCGACTGTCAGAAGAAAAGATTCAAAATATCTCCATAGAATCCATGAGATATGAAAAAAAAGAATTACAGCTCAATGAAAATATACTTGGTCACCCAAGATGTACAAGGAAATTAATGTTTTCATGCCTTCTGACTCAACAGCCATTCTGCAGCCCATAGATCAAGGAATAATGTTAACTTTCAAGTCTAATGATTTAAGAAATATATTTTGTAAGGCTATAATTGCCATAGGTAGTGACTGTTAGATCTAGGCAAAGTAAACTGCAAACTTTCTGGAACAGATTTACTATTCTAGATGCCATTAAGAACATTCATAATTCACAGAAGGAGTTCAAAATATCAACCTGAACAAGAATTTGGAAAAAATGACTTTGAAGGGTTTTCAAGATTTCAGAAGAAGAAATAACTGCAGATGTGGTAGAAATAACAAGAGAGGCTCCGTGCCTGTGGCTAAAGTGGCTAAGGCACCAGCCACATACACCTAAAGTGGCAGGTTCGAATCCATTCTGGGCCCGCCAAAACAACAATGATGGCTGCAACCAAAAAACAGCCGGGCGTTGTGG